TGTTCGACTGCTCTACGATCGTTTCAGGTATTCGGTTCTGACTTTTCTTGCAGAGGAAACAGCCAATCTGAGAGTATCTGTTCGACAAGCACGAGACTATCCTGTGGATCTATACTACGTCATGGATCTGAGCCGGTCTATGCAAGATGACTTGGATAACCTGAAAGACCTGGCCAAAATTTTAGGTAGGTATTCGGTTCATAATTACTACGCCCTCGTTAAGATTGGGAAATCTTGTTGGGTTGTATCTGAATCAACCGGCTGCGGCTAGGAGTAACGCGAGCATCTAAGGGAACTAACTGCAGCCGCTAGCAGGGACTGTCATAGGCACCTGTGTTATATTCGGCCATAACCATTATATCCGGTCACATCATTATTCACTGACACGTTCCTGCCGTTTTCATCGTGAGCTCGCACTCATGTGAATTCCTACTACGCTAAAGAGTGCGGGTTTGTGCGCATTCAGTTGAACAATGTTCATGCGCCCCACGCCATTTACACCGGCGAAACACTGCTAGCCTATGGCATGTACTTTGACTCTTGTGAACATGCAGCAGAGTGGGATGCATGCAGGAAACCCGTGCATGTCACAACGGAAACACAAATACCAAATGATAAAAACATTTGTCAACATGTTGATCAGCATTCAAGCTATTTAACAAAATATGGTGTGCTGCATATAGCACTTTGCTATGAAGTGTTGTGGTTAGGTTGTAACCTTTCAACATGTCAGTAATGAAATCACAGTTGAATGGTTATACCAGCCTGCCCTGATTATTTTCAACATTTGAAACATTCCAGCGCAAGAAATGGGGAACATTACGAGGAATTTTCGTCTGGGTTTCGGCTCCTTCGTCGAGAAAACGGTGGCGCCTTTCATCAACACAGCACCAGAAAGGTAAACACGAACACGTGATCCCGCAAAGTCAGTATATGGATGGGTCTGCCGGGTGTTTGATAAAAATTGTCGGATGCGATGAGAATCGAATCGAGAATCGTCGCAAAGAGTGGCGTACTGGTGAAGCTTTCTCAACAAACTAAACTCTCTTTCCTTAATACTTATATTTAAACAGTCTTCAGCAGCCATGTCCTGGATGTGAGGCTCCCTATAACTTCAGAAATCATCTTCCTTTGGACGTGAACACGGACTTATTCTCGGTAAGAAAACTGGCCATGGCAAACGAAAAGTATGGTCTTCACGGGCAAGTTGCTCGAGGAAAAGCTAAGATTTTCATATGCGGAAGGGAAATATTTCTTAGTAGAGCCTCAACCACCTTGGTACTAATACTTTGAGCCCTTTGGCTGGGACTATGTCATTTGCTAAGTAGGATTTTTCTGGAGTTTTGAGGAATAAATGAGAAAGGACCATGCACTCACAATCACTCTTTATTGTCTGTGCAGGTAAAAGTCAACGAGACATCTGTCTCTGGTAACTTGGATCGCCCCGAGGCTGGCCTTGACGCCCTCATGCAGGTCACAGTATGCAAAGTAGGTGACGTCAACCAATATCTAAATTAAAGTTTATATACAATGTACTGGTATTGTCAGTAACGAAATAGTATTGAAAAGCAACTGAAATACAAAGTAGCACTATTAAACCAAATCATATCTGATGCCGTCATCCGCTGTCATTTCCTTCTCAGGATCAGATTGGTTGGCTGCCCAGAGCTAGGCATATCGTAGTCTACACCAGCGATGACGCCTTCCATTTTGCAGGTGATGGAAAGGTACGGGGCAAAAACACTGCATGTACTGATTTGAGACCATGCACAGAAAATAGCCCATGTTGCACTGCTAGGAATCATGGGATATCGAAAGAAATGCGATAAATTTAATAAGCCACTGAAAAAAACTTTTAGCCCGTGAAAAGAGAAGTCTAGATTCAAGGCACTAGCTCAACCGAGAAGACCGAAGAATAAGTAAAAGGACGAATACAGTAACAAAAATACTAAGATAAAGCAAGATGAGCTAACTGGATAGAAAAAAATCATGACGGATGAAATCATTCTGCCACAAATGTATAAGCTTTGATTTTCACATGTGGAATTTGACATAAACTCGCTCCTTCTTGATACAGCTCGGCGGCGTAGTCCAACCAAACAACGGGGAGTGTCACCTCGATCCAGTCACGGGCTACAACACCAAAGCTAATGAATATGTAAGACCTCACGTTTCATTATGTAAATTGAACTTTCGATTTCCATTGGTCAATAGATTCTCACTTTGACGCGTGCACTCTGGCAGCATATAGCTTTGTTATGATCAAATATATTCATTTGGGTGTAACTGATAATGTAAAGGTTTCACCCTTTCTGTGATATGGCAGGATTACCCTTCAATTGGGCATCTCAACTTCAGGATGCGAGAGCAAAACGTCATCCCGATTTTTGCAGTAACATCCACTAATGTCCATTTATACCAGGTATGTCTCATCTCCTTTGCGCTTCTAGAAACAGCTAAAATCGCAATCACATGATTATCTTCTTATTATCTATTCTTCGTGGAATAACAAGTTGCCCTGAAGTTGGGGCTCCACTAAAAACGACTCCACTTTCCAGGCTCACTCGAATGATATTTCTTTTCATTTTGATTCCTCAGAATCTGGCTCATTTTATCGAGGGGTCCACAGTTGGGACACTGGCCGTCGATTCTTCAAATGTCGTCGACCTGATCAAGGATAACTACGCGGTAAAAATGACAAACAGTAATAAGACCATAATCTCTAGGAATTTGGAAGAAATATGATTTTTAATCTAAGGAATGGTGGACTGCAGACCAGCTCAGTTAAGATCTCAATATTCGCACCCACTGCTACATAAAGATACAACGCGGCATAAGTTTATACCAATAGGTAATGACTGATGTATCCCCACAGACAATCACCTCGCGAGTGGAGATTGTGGACAATGCGCCGGAGAACCTCGCCGTGAGGTACGTCTCCCGGTGTCTGAACGAGGCACCACGTCCGGACTCCAGAGTGTGTACCGGGCTACGGCTTGGTGAGACGGTTAGCTTTGATGTCAGCGTGGAGGCCACGGGTTGCCCGGAAACCGAAATCCAAAAGTACGCCGCAAATTTCATCTTTATTATTGGACTGCTCAATATGTCGAGAATTGATTCTTAATCAAAATGTCACGAGTGCTGCTGTTACACACTTTCTTTTTTTATTTGAAGATATCTTTTTTACCTTTCAGACTGTATGTAGGAGATTAGAATAAAAATGTACATGTATTTTCTCATTTGGTCGCATTTATTCCTAATTAGGTTCTCCATTCGCCCAATTGGATTCGACGAATCTGTTGAGATTATAGTTGAGGTTGCATGCAACTGCGAGTGTGAGGCATTTGGGGTAAGCAAAGTAACAGACAGGAACCCAGTACGGTTTCAACTTCCACAGTCGATTTTATATAATGCAGTTTGTCTGTAGAATTCCAATCACTGACAACTCAAAGCTCAAACTGTCTACCTTGTCTACAGATACCCAACAGCGAGTACTGTACCAACGGTAATGGGACGCTTTCGTGTGGCCAGTGCGCGTGCAATGCCGGCCGCTACGGCAAGTTGTGCGAGTGTAGTGGCATGGAGGACGCGGGAACGTTCTTCAGAGATAAGAACGAAAACACCGCCTCGTGCAGAGCGTAAGGCTATATCTTCGCTTTAATGGGTTCTTTATAATTATGTACAACCGCCTCAGCGATATGAAACATGGTCGCAGTTTCGGCTGTTTCTTATCTCAGAACATTCGTTTGGTTCTTCGCAGGAACGCCAATGCGACCTCCTCGGTCGTCTGCTCGGGCCGAGGGGAGTGCATATGTGGAGAATGTGTCTGTTTTGAGCGGCAAGTAAGTTTTATAGCAATCCATTTCAACGACTGTCGCTCTGTTTCATCGTTCGTTCTTATGAATCCATCAGCTTGCAGCTGTATATGAGCTGGTATGGTACGCCCTCACCAGCTATAGGAGCACAATGACAGGATTCAGTTCATTTCTTACTCAAGTTACTGTTATCATATCTCCTCTTTGCAGAATGCAAACGAAATCATTTCAGGGCGGCACTGCGAATGCGACAATTTTTCATGCGAAAGACACAATTCAGAATTATGTGGAGGTAAGTAAGCTTTGCGACACAAGGTGAAGTATTATTTACCAAAGATTACCACAAGCATCCTTTAGCATATTTCACGTACGGGTCCCCGCACAGTGTGTTTGTAATTATGTAGGTCTTCATCATCTGATATTTCCCGCCAATTTTTACAGGACTAGATCGAGGTGAGTGCGTATGCGATGAAAAGAGGCGTCGCAGTGCCTGCAAGTGTCGACCAGGCTACGTTGGTAACGCTTGCGGCTGCTCCACGTCCACAACTGCCTGTCTGGCGTCCAATGGGGTGAGTATTTCATTGGCAAGACAGTGCGTTCGACAAAATATACCCTAACTTTGTTGATGGTTTCGTTGATTGGTTGATGGGGTTGATTGGTGCCCTGTAGACTGGTACTCTGAATGACTAGTGCACTGATTGACCAGTACTTCAACTTACCTATTTCCTGATTGACTGGTGACTGTTGGCCCAGTTGTGTAGTTGGCTTCTTGCATGACTGAATTCTAAAGACATGGCTTGGATCAGTCCATGTTTAGGGTTTTTTTTTTCAAAAATTGGAGTTGATCTATGACTGCAATATTTACCATCTTTTGGTATCTTTTGTCATTTAATATGCCTGGATTTGGTTCCCAACCTGGAAATGTTCTTCAGGGATGTAAAACTTCTTGAAGTTTCTACTCAGTTACCATAGTTATTCATGGAGGTGACTTCTCGATGAGAGTTCCAGTTGCCCCAGTCTTGTTCCTAACCAACTCGGTTTCGTGCCTACGATCCTCCTGTTGTTTTTTTTCCAGCTTATTTGCAACGGGAGAGGACGTTGCAATTGCAACGAATGTACATGTGACTCGCCCTTCCAAGGAGATACGTGTGAAGTGTGTAAGGTGGGTGGGCCCGTCTGTCTTCTCTCATCTTAAGTGTTGGTGGTCTCATCATGAAGTGTCACCGTTCATTTTCGAACATAAGAACGCCGATTGTCAAAACACAGGAAACTACTTCTACTCAGTTACATACATTAGCTTCTATGTTTCAAAATGAAAGCAACTCGAGCAGCCCTCGTGCAGATAATTCTATCCAACATTTCCGAAACACATCTCTCTGGTTGACTGACGGTGGAGAGTGTATGCAGACTCGATTACGGAAACTGAAGTATTGTATGTATCGTTTCTACAGACGTGTATCGGGAAGTGCTCGTCCTACCGACCCTGTGTTGAGTGCCAGGTCTACGGCGTGGACATCTCTCCCGCGGAATGCAGCAAGTGTAATGTGGCTGTGGTGATCGAGAAAGAATTACCAACGGGTAGGTCGTGGTTCCTCGTTCAGGATTTGGCATATTTATGGGTGTATGGAGAGAAGAGCTCGTTTGTGTTAACAAAGTGTTGTCCCTACTCCTACAGTAAACGGGTCCAGTCCGTGTGTGTTTCCTGTGCCCGAAGGGAGCAACAACTGTTCTTTGACGTACAGCTTCGTGTACGAGACTCTCAACAACGGCACCATACTTGTCCACTTCGAAGAACCCAAAGGTAACAATCTGACGAGAAAAACTTTCTGTCGCACAATTGTACAAGTTTTTGCATTTTCACTTCGTAGGCTATTACTCACAGTTTAGGTCTTCGGATAGCCTGTATATTCTTTATTCGCTTTTGATTCCAACATGTTTATAATGAACGCATTGTAGGAAATAGTTCAGAAATGGTTTTGTACCCTCGTTTTTTTTTCCATTGCCAGAGTGTACCGGAGGTGACGGTGGTGGCAGCGGCACAGATGGCAAAGGTCCTATCATAGAGAAAGATGCTTCCGGAAGCGAGATTTTAATCTTCGTCGTCAGTACCGTAGCTGTCATTGTCTTGATCGGCATTCTTCTCTTGGCTCTTCTCAAAGCCGTCAATGTCGTGCGGGACAAAAGGGAGTACGATCGCTTCCAGAAGGAGCAAAAAAACGCCGTCTGGGAGCAGGTAAGGAGAGAAAAAGCCCGTGGCTGAATTTAGAGGCTTTCCTAGAAATAAGATAAACATATCCGTCTAAGCAAACGGCTTCCTTGGTTTGCATCTGTCCCCTCGGACTATCTGTATTCTTTTCATTTCGTTTTCTTCAGGCGCAAAATCCCATCTACAAACAAGCAACGTCGACCTTCATCAACCCAACCTACGGAAAGTAGCACCAGTCAAGGGAGAGATGGTCATTTCCAAACTCATCGGCTTCGTCTCGAGTTCGACTTCAGCTTATTTAGAAGCCTTTGGTGTCCAAGTAAGATGAAGCAATCTGAATGCATCTTTAAGTCTCTCATTGGTGGGTCTGCTTTTCCTACCTGAGAAAACGCAAAGTTTGTCAACTAGTGCGCGTTTTCCAATGTGAGGTCATCCATTAAAGTCATGTGACACAGCGCGAGTAATACTGATATCTAAATATCCAACAACTATTTTATTCAATAAATTAAAGTAAGTGTTTTTGCCTCTGGTTTTCGAAATTCATTCGTACAGTACTTTGAAACTGCAGTTTGTCCTTTGCTTGTGTTCTATACCTCGATGACAATTTATGTTGTTCTTAAATCAATACCGCCCTCTTTTGTTTAGCAGTAGTATGTATCGTGCGATCAGTAGGCATTGTAAACGTAATCCTATGATCTGGGCTGTATTTGTTTCCAGATGCTATTGCATCTTTTAAGTTATGACGCCCTCTGTCAAGCCGAGCAAGAACGCTGTGCACAAAAAAAATAACTGATAATTGGAGTGGATTGGAGAGAGGCGGCCGACTAAATAACTCGATTAATCAGTTCTTGTAATTGCCAGAACTGTGATATTAGCAGGGGACGCCGTGGTGCGTTCGAGCGAGCTACTCGTGTTAACAGGAGTATACTCACGAGCGCTCGAACGGCTGGAGTATGACCTGCAGGTCAGCAAGAGTATATTCTTTCGTTAGAGAGGGAGTTTGCACTCATGCACCCACGTGTAATGCGCACGCATCTTACTTGTGTTGACAGGAGTAACCGTGCGAACGCACCATGTGATTGTAAATAGCTTTAGACAGAGTCGACCAAAGTGCTGAATGCTATATATTTTGAATATGAAATTCAAGTGTAGATAAACGCAGATGTATGATAATTTCTTACACCGAACACCTAATAATGACGTCAGTATTTTCAGACGGATTATCCGGAATTAAATGTGGCCACGTGCCGTGATCATTGTGAGCGATGCACCATCTTGCACTCTCTGGTAGTTCGAGGAGTGCAGTCTCCTTGTGAACCTTGGGGGCGGGCGGGCAGGGAATGGGAACATTGCCTTCGTCGTACTCCTTGGCGGTCAAATTTTGGCACATGGCAACGAGGATACGCATACATAAATTGCGAAATGGAGAAGATTTTAACGTCTCTTCTAAACCCACTCCGTCGTTTCCGGCTACGGTATGTCGTCAGAATCACAAGGCTGAATAAGATAGTCTATAGTTCTAGGCACGGAATCGATGTGTCGATGTAAATAATTGACATTAAAATGCCAAACTTGCTTTTAAACTTTTAAAAGTTGGGACTTTCTAACGACGAGAGTTTAATGTGCTCGTGTGTGCAGGTTGTTTTATCGTTTCTTTGATCTGAGTGTCTGTTTTTGTCTTTCTTTCTGATCTTGTGTTTAAAGGCTGATTATGTGAAATTAGCTGCCTTGTGTGATATGCAGGGATTTTCCAGAAAAATGGATAAGTGTTTCATGAGCCAGTGATGTGTCTGCAAAATCGTAAATGCCCAAAAGACAGCCGGTTACAGTCACGTGACTAAAAAGGGTCTATTTCATTGATTCATAATTTGTGTTCTGCACAGAGGGTTAATGTCGTGTTTTAGTGGTGGACTTTGTGTGTGAAACGAACAAAGGCGACGAGATACCCTCATGGAGGAAGCGTGATGGTAATTGATGAGCTGGATTGAAATATTTGCATAGTAGTCGTCGTTGATGAAGAGATGCGGCTTTCAGTTGCAAAGCGAAAAAGACAAAAATTGAGATAGGCGATTATTTTGTTGTATCATTCACTTTCTAGTGCTGAGTTTTAACTTATACTTGGATAAGTACATATTTATCAATACACATGCTTAATTTCTAATCCTTTACAATTCTACAGTAGTTTAAATAGCTTTAATTGATCATTTAAAACTTGCCATTTCGTATTTTATAGATTTTTGTACTGTGTAGACGACAATATAATTAAAGAGGCTAAAACTGTAATTAACATGCTGCTTTCTGCGTGTGTGATTCCGAAGTTCATAGGAAAATTAAATTTAAACAAAAATCAACTAATCCTTTTATAGCATTTTGATCTCCATCCATTTTGATCGGTGTATTTCTCCCCCTCCCGGCCACCAAGGCTCCGCCCCTAGCTAAGACAAATTCACAACCGATGATGAATCTGCCTGCCTCCTTTACAATATACACCCCGGATAACTCTTCTACAGGAAATCGAGGTGCCCTTTTTTTATTTTTCTCACCTGATTTGATGACTCGTCGATCTTGTAATTTTCTCGTGTCTGCCACATCGACAGGAGCCTGCCTGGTTTGCGGCGCCCGAGAGGTCTATGACCTAGGATTTTAAAAACAAGTGTAAAAGCTCTGTGCTTTGTTAGGGAAATTTACTGAGATGACACATGGACAAGAGTCAGTGAACAATGAAACAATAAAAGTGCTTTGATTGTTCGGTTCAGTAACAAAAGTTGCTATTCATGTTAGTGATGAGACAATCTTATCCTTTCCTGCAGAAACAAGGTTTTTTTCTAGAAAAGCATTTGTGTCAGCTCTTCTACACCTTATTCCTTGAGTTATTTCAGGTTCACATTTCATAAAAAACAAAATCAAAATTGGCCACTCCAACTGTAAACTGCACCGTAGCTGACAACTGCGTAGTCCCCCTCCCCAACCAATCCCCCGAAAAAGACGTTGCCGCCCCCAGAAATCCTGGCGATGCCCATTCGCAAAGCTTGAATAGAGTGAAATAAAAAGTGTCAAGGCCGCTGGCCGTGTGCCATGATAACTTGCCCTATGTTTTATACGATGTGTATGTATACGAATCGATCACTGAACTCCATGACAAAGGGGCAAACTTCTCAAGTCGTGCAAGCTTCACAATATTTCCCCATCTGTTTAGACATCTAAAATTGCACTTGGCCAGAAATCACATTTCTGTCTCTTCAACCAGGCAGGGCAATTTTTTCTGACATCTCCAAGCACACCAACTCTATTTCAACGCCCATCAATTGCGCTCTATGTGTGGTAAATGGCCTTTCACCCATTTCTAAATCCTCCTATTGTGTGATATATTCCCACAGTTAAAATACACTGTGTGGGCGCTTTGCCATCCATCATGTGTCTGTTTTACGCTAGAAGATCAGGGAGACACGTTTGGTTTTGTAAACCGAAGGTATCCAGGATCTATAACCAAGTTTTCGTGGTATGGCCTCCCTGAAAAAAGCCTCCATTCTAGTTCTCTCACCGTAAATGACACCAGCCAATAAGACTCTTTACAGGGGGAACGATGGATGTATATCAGGAATGTACATGTACATGAATTTAGCTTGATACGGGCTGGAGAGTAATGGAATAGTAACAGGCAATATCGCAATGAGAAGTTAGTTTGGAAACTCAAGTAGAAATTGCACGGTTAATTTAATTTCGTGTGTAGGTCACGTATCAAGTAAAGTTTGCACTGCGTTGACCCAACTAGTGGAGACATCCGGGCAGGACTGAGATGCATACAAAGTGGTACAAGAAAGAGAAAAGCATCACCGATAATAGTTACAGAAGGATTGGGAGTTATACTGCTTTTCAAATCGGATGAATTACAAGGAGTACCCGTGAGAAGCACAATAACCACACGACCTTTTAGCTGGTAAACCGAAAGATAAAACAGTTCTTTGTCCAGTAAATATCTGCGTTACTCAAAGGGTGTTTTACGAACTGATGATGAGACTCGACCGATCAGGTGACATCGACTAGAGATGTATGCAAACGCTACACAAAGCCCTGGACATAATTCACAAATGCTTGAGACATTCTTGTGAAAGTTTGCTCTCAATTCCTGCGTCCTTTACCCGAGCCAGTCACCGCACCAAAATGTGTTGGTGAAGTTTTATTTCAGTCCCAAACATGAACAGTCACTGTCATTGTGCGTGTTTTTTTTTTCACGAAACTTTCGGTAGTTGCACAGAACTGACCGGTTTGAGAACTAATTTGCATGAAAGGCATAATAAAATGCAGATGCAAACGTCTTTTCAACAAAATATGAATAAGTAGGGCATTATGACAAGAACATTCATCCAAATTTTAATGCTACGAATCTGCTACAATAATTTTCCGTCAATTAAAGAGTTGCACATCCCTCCCATCTAAAATTTTCCTGCAATGAACAATACACAATGTCACAATTTAAAACTAGTTACCAATCAACTGTTCTAAAAATATATATGCGTGTATGCGATGACCGTGCCTGGGTTCATGCAGACCTTTCAAATGTACTCTATACTCCATTCACTCTCACCCAAGCGATTATTTTCCCTGCATTTATAACAAAAGCTGCAAGACCAATCAGCAAAACTGTTGCGAAGTATCACCACAACAAGACTCGATTACCAAGCAGCGCGACCAACGGCAACGCGTACACCAAAAGGACGTCGCTATGGCTACGCTCATTGAAGGTGTGCGCCTCAGTCACCGGGCCTGTGCGTGCAGGTACGCAAACCAAGCAACACCGACCGCGCTCAGTTCAGTTGGAGTTAGAAACGCGCGCTGTTTTCAACAGGTCCGCCGTAAAGCAACATCACTCGCGCACAGCTTCTCTGTGGAAGAAATATTATCACTCCCGGGTTGTGATCAAAATATCGTCCAAAGATGGGTGAATGGTCCAACGGTCTCTTCGGCTGCTTCAGCAACATCGGGTTATGCCTGATCACATACGTGGCGCCGTGTTACGTCGCCGGCAAGAACGCCGAGAAAAACGGAGAGGACTGTTTGCTGTACGGTCTGTTCTCTGTTCTGGGCTGTGTCGGACTCTGGTCCATGACTAAAATCCGCGGACAGACAAGAGCGGCAAAAGGGATCGACGTAAGTTCATCTCTCTTACATTTCTGACTTCCCTCATAAGAATTTACTTCTTGTTACACATTAATGTTTGTCTTTTTCCCAAGACCGGACAGACGTGAAACCAAACCAACGTCCCTTCAAATAACTGAGACGTAAAAGACTCCTTAATACAGATGTATTAAACCGAACTTTCATTTGAAGACAGCGATTGAAACTCTCCTAAAAATAAGGTTCCATTTGCAATTAGCTTCAACGTTCATGCGATCAAGTTTACCAAACACTGTCACGCCTGACAACGATTTCCCGCGTTCCAATTGGCCAAACAGCTACTCCATAACTTGGCCATACAGCCGATTACCCTGAACCGTATGTCTTACTTCATTCCTTGTACAAAGTGTTTTGCTCAGACCGATTTCTTCGTGTATTTTTCCGTCACTATGTCTTTTGTAAACGGTACCCCTCCCGTGTAGAAAGTATAGCCTCAAGCAGTCTTGTCGAAAGTCAACAGTTGTCGTTGGGTCTAAAAATCTAATTTGAATATTGAGCGGTTGGGGGAACGATTACATAACAGCTCTTTTCACTGAACACAACATCTCCTTGGTTCTTTTCCCAACTTGTTTTTCCAAGGGTGGTCAATAACAACGAAACCAAACATATCGATCTGTACTTTGTCTTGGTACATCTGTACTTGAGTAAACCAGTAATTTTCCCCTTCCCGCTGTATATTCGATCTTCGTATCGTAATGTCCATTTTGTATCAGCAGACTTTATTTGGTGCCTTATAAGAATTTATAATAAAACTCTGCCATTTTTTCTCACTCAGTACAATGTTGCTCCTTCCAATTTAACCATGTACTGGTACATGTATTCCTCAAACGAACATGCCCACAAACACGAAATTCAGAAGTTGCTTGGAATCAAGTGTATTCTGTTAGCTCTGAAATCATTTTTCCTTTTCCTTTTTTTTTTCTCCAGGGAACCTACACAAACGATCTGCTCATGATTCTCTTCTGCACGTTGTGTGCACTTGTCCAGGAGGCTCAGGTAAGCCGATGATCGCAGATTAAGTTTGGAGAGGACTTCGTGCCCCGCCATGACAAGTGATTCAATCAATCGGTCGAGAGGGCATCCGTTCATAAAATGCAAGGAATATTGGCATTCTTGCACTCGTACATTGTGAACATTTTGGCAAATCACGCCAGGTTAGCAACGCTTTTCCGCTCATACTGTTCCATCTTACCGCAGCATCGCCCTTCATCCACTGAGCGTGCAAAGCCTATTCTGAATGGGCCCATGCGTGGTGCATGTTGTACAAGTACATGTCACGATGTATTGATGATTTTCCCCTTTTTACTCTTTCTTCCTTTGCAGGAATGGGAGGGGCCCGCTAGTGCTTCGATTGCACGCGAATAGACGCCATCTTTTATTCAACAATTAAAACAGTGAACTCTCTTTGAAAACGGCGCGGAAGACTCCGCGACAGCTAAATGGAAATGTCACCTTCTAACTTTCGAGATTTTAATATCGCTCCGGATCTCCTGTTGCCATGTAAATATCAATTGAAACTTTGCACTTTTCTCGACTGCCTTTTTTTTCACTTATGGTGAAGGAGTCTAAGATACCGAACGTTGCGACGGGAATCTTGGGTGATTCATAGCCTTGGAGGGGCTGAGCGTAGCAACTAAATGATGGCTAAAATGTAATCCCAAGCTACGGGGACAGGAGGCTTAGCTCAAGAAACAAGACCCAGCAAATCCGGGGACAACACTGTCTACCTTTACTTCGTTACAAGACTTTCTTGTGGACAAATTTTCTGATATCTCTACGGATCTCTGGCTCTAGGCTCATTTGCGCTAACTTTCTGCCCCGGAAAGTGAATTCGTTGAAGCCTGACATCATGTTGTACATGAACCACTTTCATCGACTATAAATTCTTTGAGAAGAGTAGTTTCTTTAATTAAATTCTCGTCACTGAATACTGTTTTTAAACACTGTACACAGATTTCCCTATTCAACTTACCAAAATGCATTTAGGCCTTGTGCAGCTACCTATAAAATGTAGCTGACTAAATCCTGATTTCTGACGAACGTTTTTATAAATAAAAACATGCATTATTGACATTTGTACCGTATAGACTTTTATTGTGATAAAAAAAGAAAAGAAAAATATTTTGCTGCTTACTTTCGATAATTGTTTTAAAATAGAAACCGTTTGTTTTAAGAGAAGTTCGAATCTTGAGACAAAATCAATGTACACTTACATCAATAATATTACATCCATTAGTTTAGATATTATGTTTCGGCGGCTTTACCCAGGAAAAAATCCAATGAACACTTACAAAGACAGAATATTAAGTCATGTCTGCATTAAACAAGCGTTAATCTGACATTTTTTTCGCAGTGGTACCTCGATATACAATTCAATGAAGGAAAGTTTTTCCTCAAATCAAACTTTTTCCACTCCTTTTGCTGTGATTTTTTTTAATAACGAAATAAATTGTCAAAAAGGAAACTGTTTATCTTTCCAATTTATTTGCATGTTTTATTTTCAATGTCTAGAATAGTGCCAATTATGTCTTTCTCTACACTGTTTCTAATTCTACAATTTATGCACACAAATACAAGGGTATGTGGTTTATTTTTTTTTAAAGCCTGAAGTTTTTCAAAAACGGCCACAAGAATGGAGGCTATTCTTCACCCCACGTATATTTCTCGACGTAATTACATGGAGTGCATTTGCAGGGAGGAATAATTTATGCAATTCAAATGCCATCAAGATTTTGGCTTTTTGTTAGCAGCGGCTGAACTCAGCGACAAGCTGGCTGTGCTATCGTCTCTAAAAGCTTTTCTGACAAGTATTCACGGGGCTCCGTCCTTTTACTGGCATTGGGCAACCATGCAAGCAACTATCAAATGAAGATGGTGCCTTTATTTATTATGGCATAGCGCTGGAAGATGGCCAACAGCCATGAACCAAAGATTCTAATCGTTATTTGCAGTGGCGTAGCCGGGGGGGCTGGGGGCATGTGCCCCTCCCCAATCGTCACTCGTCAATGTAAGTTGGCAGCCAGCTGGTAAAAATCGTCAAAAGTGCAACACATTGTTTCGCCTTTAACCCTCTCGTTTTTAAGGTTTCAAATCGGAAAGAGTTCCATATGCGGACAACAAAGTTTCCCTTTAAAATGTTAAAACACCCGTCAGAAAGTGATAACATGTCCTAAAAAGTGGAATTTAGCTCAGAAAATTCCAAAGCATTTACTTAGAAAACACTCAGATTTTTAAGATAAGTCCTATTAGGTTTGTGAACAGGGCCTCAGGTGTTGTCCGTGTATGGAACTCTTTCTTTAAAGGACAGTCTTTTTAAGTAAAGTTCTTAATCAGAAACGGAATACTGAGTTTGTTGGTGAAATACCAGAATAAAATAATATCTACAACCAGAATAAATATGTCGACAGTAATTGGTCGGTTTCCCACATGCAAAACACCACCCCAACCAAAGTTCTGTTTGGGTTTCACTGTTTTAAGTTTGTTTCCAGTGCATTGAAGATCATAAACAAAGGGAGGGGAGTTGTGCAAGCTCTTGATCTCAAATCGAGTCGGTCCGGTTAGGTTTCTGTTTTGACGTTTCCTCCAGTTCCACCCTCCTTCTTTGATACAACTGCCAGAGATTGTCATCCGGTTCCAGGTGCCACTCCTCAAGTTGTCTCCAGCTCTTGATCTCAAATCGAGTCGGTCCGGTTAGGTTTCTGTTTTGACGTTTCCTCCAGTTCCACCCTCCTTCTTTGATACAACTGCCAGAGATTGTCATCCGGTTCCAGGTGCCACTCCTCAAGTTGTCTCCAGCTGTCCTCCAGCTTTGGTAACGTTGTTGCACCCTCCAGACGTCTACCGATGATGTGCAGCTGCAGCTGTTGCTGTGTTATCAGCTTACACGAGTCTACATCGCAGAGGTTCCGGACCGTGACGCTCGGCTGGAGGTTGGAGAGAAAGTGCAGCCCGGCACTTTCCGTGAGGTTCTCCAGGGAAACTTGGAAGTCCTTAAGGTGACGTTCAACTGGGATGGGTTCATTGGGCACAACAAAAGCACCAACGGCAACAGTCTCATTAGTGCTGGAAGTGTCACTTTTGTTGCCGTCCACTGGAGGGAGAACGACAGTGATGAGCTTGTACAGATGCGTTGGCACGGCAACATTGTTCTTTCCAATGACCTGAGAAATAACACAGTGAAGAGGTGGTGAAATGAAGGAAACATCAAATCATACAATTATTCATGAAATATTTTGAATATATGAATATGCAATTTCTTTCTTTTTTTTGGAATCTGTCATTTCATTTGCCCCACTCCAATCTGCCTAACTCCAATCCTCCCTCACCTCATACTTGACATATTTCTTGCCTCCTTCCTCTAAGGTGGGTAACGCCAGGGGGCCTGTTATGACCCATACATCCTTGTACCTCTTTGCTAGGCTGCGGCAGTAGATCTCAATACGGTGCCAGAAGTTCCCGTTATTGTTGACGTCCTGGGGGACGATGTTGGAAAGGTAGAAGGATTCATCCATGGCAGCCTTTTGTTGGGAGATAAAAAACTAGTGTTTACTCCCTGCACCGCCCAAACTCTGTACTTCTCACTGTGCCGTTTGAAATCATACACTCCTTGAATGACGTATAGAGGTTTTTCAGTCAAATGATTTTTAATGGTCAGCATTTAATTTACACGGATGTTCTCGGAAATGTGCGCGCCTTCGAAGTCGGTCAGCATTCTGGCATACATGAAACTACCAACATAAAGACTCATATTCAAAACGGACATGCCGCTGCAGACTTGGAAAGTTTCCTAGACTACCTTTGCCCGTCATGTGACGTCACGTGAAATACCTCTATTACAAGAGACAAGAGAAGGCACTTTTTATAGCACATAAAGTCAAGCTTCAAGCTATCTAATATTTCACAAAGGCAAGTGGAGTAAAAATTGTTGAAACGTACATCACTCAGGTTCACTCATGACAAAAATTCCTTCATCTATCTACTTACAATTTCCCTAAAAATAAAAGCTGGGAGAAACACACAAGTCTATGGGAAGTGGCACTAGCTGCTAGAAAGTGCTTTCCATAGATACCTTTGCTTTTTTCAGCCCTAGCCACATCATCAAAAGCAGCCAAAGGCTACGTCCATATCAACCAGCTGGGACTGCAAGTAATATACATCAATGTGAAACGGCGACAGCCACTAGGCAGTGGCTTCCATTTTCATGATGCTACCATGTATGTCTTATTCCCAGTAGACCTACTGGCAAAAGCTATACAATTTCTCATATTGATGAAAGGGAACAGACACTTTTCCCTTCCAGCCTCAGTTGGGTTACACTGCTTTGACAGATTGAAAAGCAAGATGGCTGCCTCATGATAGAGGTCTATTGGTCCCTCGTTGAAAGTAACAGCCCATAACTTTCAATAACAGTCCTACCTGGCTGTACTTATTGTCTCCAGCAGGTGCCATGTGACCCCTGGACCATCCACTCCTCTTGTAGTCGCTATTCTGTGATGCGAATGGTGCCTGGATGTTTGGGTCCATCACAAAGTTGCTGTGCTTGCGATGGGCAGGGCCTGGAGAAATAATAAAAAACCTACATCTTGGATCAATCTAGATTAATATGAACGACCACCTGCAGATACTTAAAAACAGTTTAAGCATTAATATGAATGATCAATTATATTACCATGGATGAGTCTGATAGATACTCTTACTCTTAAAACAAATATTAAAGCATGATTACTTTACGCTGCATTGTAATACTAAAAACACCCAACTAAATTTCTAAAACCTAGTCCTATATGTTTGAGCCAGCAACAATGTTCTTTTTCAGGGCACAAGTTCTTAAACTATGCATACTTTCACCATACACCTGAGAATTAACTAATGTTAAGGGTGCTAACACAACATCTAAATTTGCCTAAGACAGATGATGTACATTTTTGGTTTTAAACCTTAAAAAAAAATTGAACATTTTCTGCTTAAACCCTTCCTAAACAGTTATTCAACACATAACATAAACTTCATAGAACTCCCACTCACCATGAGAATAATCCTTCTGGTTTCAAGTGGTAGATTTTTGGGCTGGCAATCCTGTCAGTAAAGACTAGCATATATATATAAATATATATACGGGCTGATAGTACTAATTCGGGGATGTTTCCTTCGCACTGAAGATCAGCACTGCTGGCTGTTAGCCTACTGAAGACTGAACTAAGCCTACCCACAAAGACAACTTGGATTTAGACAACACCAGGTCCAGTCCAATTTGAACCTGGTTAATGCGCATACAATCTCCATCTCCCCCTTTTTAACCAAAATATACTTTGGGAAGAGCCACCGACGTAGGGCTCGATAGCTCAGTTGGTAGAGCAACCGGTACGGTATTCCAGAGGTCACAGGTTCAAATCCCGCTCCAGTCAATTTCTTTGTTCATCTTTATAATCATTTGTAAACACCTGGTCAGTTTCCCGACATAATTTGTTTCATCAATATATATTTTGCCAGGATAGTATTCTAAAAAGTATACCCTGTCGAAAGCAAGGGTATGGAATTCAGGTTTTTCCCTTATGGGTAGTGACGTGTGCAGTTTAATCCATATACATATAAAGCAAATAATGCATGGTACATCAGTATTGTAACTCCCATAATCAATGCATGTTTCAAACACTATTCTTCCACTTTTTATGACCTCATACATAAAACATATCTGTAGTTTATTATTCATAAAATACTTTGAATATACATCATATGACCTTGCATCATACTACTCAAGCCCTTGTGCATTATTTTATCAGCCTAGTATTTGTATGTTTTCTGTGTGGCTGAGCCTATCTCCCTACGCATTGTTTTGCTGACTAATCTTTCCTACAAATTCATTTAGACTGTTTTGTAGACAAACCAATAGCACAGGTACAACTTTTAGTACATGTATTTAATACGGGCATAAACCCCAATGGTCACTCGGATATGCCTTCAGTTTCTCCATCCTGCAAAATCCTCCATCCTGCCTGTTTATTGAGAACTTCAGTAATATTAATAATGGCAAATAAACAAGAGTTTTACCTTGTAAGTCTGCCTGAGTAATATGCTCTGCAACCCATAGTGGAGTTTTCTTGGACCGGTCGTAGGAGAGTGCATGGTTGCTGTAGTAACGGACATCAGGGCCCCTATCTGGTGCTCCATACCTCAAGATATCTTTAGAGTCTTCAAGTTTAGGAGGAACTGAAAGACCAGTTAATTGGTACAAGCTAAGGCCATGAGAATAGAAGGTGTAGATTTGCATCCTAACAATTTCAAAAAAGCATTAGGCCACTTAAAATAAAAATAGTTTAGATCAGTTGTATTTGCAAAAAACGAGGAGGGAGGAGATTTTTTTTTTAATACTTTGGTATGCATGCTGATCTGGACTGCTCCAACCACAGAACGAAAGCGCCATGTTCACTTCAGACTCGTGCACAGAAGTGCACATGACATTGGGCGAATGTGCTCAAGTCGCATGTTGTGCGTGCACGAGGTTGCGTGGGCATTGTAGAAACTACGTGGGACAGCTAAGGCCATCGGAAACGACAACATTTAAAAACACATGCGGCAAGAATTTTTGAGGCGGGTGCTGATGCTAAACGAATTATTCTTTTTATGTGGCCTTATGGCATTTTTCATTAATCTAAAATTGATTCCAACCTCCAAGTACAGGCACATTTTAAGCACAATACTGTCAAACTACAACCAAAAGCCTCGCTGAGGGATGAGCTACGAGTAGGCCACCCTTCATCAATAGAGGTTCTGCATGGCAGCCATCTTTCCAGTCACAGCTTTTGTTGCGGAAGGATAGCACAAAAGATCCACTCATGTGTATTCCTGTGGACCAAAAGCTCTAACCGGAAAAATGGCTGCCATGCAGAACGCCTATTCATGAATCAGGTCAAATGGAAATCATCACAACAAAAAACACCTGTTGTAAAATGTACATAGAAAACGTGGGAAGTCAATCCGACACGCGTGCGTCGGCAATAGCTCAGGCAGGCCTATCTGGACATACAAAAGCCATCAAAACTGAGCTAAATATGGATGAAATGCATAAACGGGCTTGTGCTGTTTTATACAGCATAAAATTCAGAGCTGTGATTTTGAATCATTTTCTAACAAATAATGAATTTTTGTACATAATGTTTTTGGGGGCGTGGTGGCGTTGCAACATGTGGGTGGTGGATGCAAATCTATTCTCATAGCCTGAGAAAGGGAAAAAATGTGTCAAGAATTAACTTTGAAATAAGTGAGCATAATGTTAGGCAGTGACTCGTGAAAATAAATTAATATACAATTGGTTGGGGATGAGGCCCATCTCTCTGTAAGTACATAATCACTGTTATTTTTGAAAACAATGAAAATTCTTAAGTTAACCTCCAAGTTGAAGTCGGACTTCTAAACGTTACTCAAATTAGTACAAAATTTACCCACAAACTTTAAAAGCACACCTTCAGAAAGACAACACCCTTCCCTACCTTCTTTTGTTGTTCGTTTGAGTCGAGGCTCTGTGTTGAAGGGTTTCAGCACGTAAGCATAGAGACTGTACAAAGCAACCGAGGTCACTGCACCTGAAGCAAATCCACCGCCAAAAAATCTTGCCGCCATATTTTTTCAACCTTACGCCACAAAATTGTCGTGGCTCTCAAATGGCTCTCAACCTAGAGTCGATTCTACTGTGATCGAATCCTGATTTCCGAACTGATAATTGGAGAGAGGAAATGTATAATTACCGGTCGGGCCGCGGCATTACTAAACAAAAGCAATTTGTCTGAGCAGACGACATGTGACATGTGAGAAAATATTTTAAATTTTCGAAAGAGGGCGCTATTCCATTTTGCTTGGTTTTTGTTTTGTTTTGTTTTGTTTCAATTTTTTTTCACTGAGACAGCTCTGTCTCAGATGAGCTACAGATGCGAGACAGCTTCATACGGCCGACAAAAATTAAATTCAACTCGATCACCGGAGTCGCTGATTACATATGTGATTTTATAGTGGTACAAAATTACATGCTTGATAGCGGTTTTAAAGGGTCTTTTTCGTTGTTTTGTTTAATTGGGTTTGAGGAAGAAAAGCAAATGACGAACTTACGACGAGAGTCCTTTGAATTTTACATGAACTATTCCCGCCACTGAATCCTTCCAAACTACATGAAGTGACAAGGTAGTGGAAGTGCCAGGAAGTAACTTTTCGACTGATGCGCCTGGCTGGTTCATCAGCGGTGTTAGTATTGCCGCAACTCTTTAATTATGCTTCCATGTCAAAGTTAACTTGGTTTAGCAGTTTTGATCGACCCAGACAGTGAACTCCTGACTTAAACAAACAAGCAAGTTGACTGAACAATTGATCCCATACTTTGAACCCATCCAAACTGCAACACATTGTTCTACAACCAAAGGTTTGTCAACTTGAAAGGTTTGCATGGTCAGAATTACATCGGATACAAGGCGCAATCTCTCTACAGTGTTAGTATCCTCAGTGCAAGTTTCTCCTAGTTTCCTGGAGTTTATGATTGCTGGTTCAAGGTCATAACTGCAGAGCAAAATGGCCAAGGAAATGTTCAGTTTCAAGAGCGGTTTTTCTGTTGGTTTTGTCGTATCCTTGGTATTGAGTTTCGTGTATTGGGGAGTTCTGGTGGCTGATCAAAAACACCCCGTAGTTGTTCCCGTAGAGGTGTACAGGTACATCGCGCCAAAGGTTGCAGGTAAGATTAAACACGAACTGCTGGAAAATATGTGGCAAAATGTTAGTCGACGAAAACGTCTAACAGCTACCAATGAGGCAAGGGCAGAGATTTTCAACTGAAGTGTTTTCTTTTATAGGATCACCTTTAATTCATCGATGCTGCCAAAATGCTATACACTCTATTGTTGTTATTTAATCAATTCAGCGACTCTGTAAAAATCTTTTAAAGAAAATGTTAAGATCAATAATTTTGCTTTTTCCAGACAAGAAATATCAATCTACATCGCCAATCCTGAAATACGGGGTACCAGATAGAGGTCCCGAGACCCTCAACTATCAAAACCACGCGGTCGGATACGACCGGGCCAAGAAAATCCCACAGTGGGTTGCCGAATATATAACAAAGGACAACATAAAAGGTACGTGGCTTCCTAACACTGCATTTTTATTGTAACTTGTCAATGAAAAGAATGCATGTTTGCACTCAGATATTAAGTGCAAAGTTTTAACAAAATGAGGATTGTGGAAGCTTCCTAGTTTTGAAGCTTACCGACTCCTTCTTTGTGTGATTGGTTAATAAGGTGATGCCGACAGGACTAAGTGTAGCTTCAAACCAGACAGAGACAGGGTAGACGATATGTTCTCATCTACCCTCGATGACTACAGCAAAAGCGGTTACGACAGGGGTCACATGTCTCCGGCAGCCAATCACAAATACAGCCAGGTAAAAGTTTCACTAACTACACTGACAAACTCTGAAGTCGGTGGTTGTGACATCGACAGAGGTAACTTTCGTCAATTCAAGTCATTTCATTTTTGTTCAGGCATGATTAAGGAAATGTTACATCTGCAGTATTGATATTTTGGAGATTCAGAACATTATAGACACGAGAAATCCCACAAGAAGGGATAGCTATCCCCACTTGGATCAGGATTCCAAGACGGTTGCAAAGGGTTCCGGTCAAAAAGTAGAAAGCACTAACTAACGTGTGGGTTCAAGCAACATGACGTCACCGGCATTCATGATATTAACACCCCACTTGTCTGGACGACGATTTTACTTGAGTCAAGTCACAGATTTGACGCAGTCTAGCTGGTCCTATGAATAAATCCAACATTGGCCATTCTCCTTTCAACAGGACGCCATGTGCGAGTCATTCTTTCTCACCAACGTCGTACCTCAGAGCAGCCAGCATAATCGGTACTATTGGCGTGATTTCGAGGGGTATTGCCGGGAATTGGCCGAGAAGTATGAGGAGGTCCGGGTGATTACTGGCCCGCTATTCCTGCCCGAAACGTCTGAGGGCGACACACAGAGTAGTCGGTTTGTCAAATATGAGGTAGGCCTAGGACCCGAATGGCTTTGGAACGATACAAAAAAAGTTAGTAAAAAGAATAAAAAAAAGTTACCTCCGACAATTTATCCTTGTTGTTTGTTTTCTGCCAATTAAAAGGTCAACCATTTTCATCTTTATCCTAAACATTACCACCGTCTGTCACCTTCATAACGAAAATCCCCATCTTTGCAGTATTTTACAATCAGATATATAGATCATTGTCAGTTTTAATCAATAACTTACAGGTAATTGGTGAAAGCAACGTGTCTGTGCCGACTCATTTCTTCAAGGTCATCATCATCGAAAATGCAACCGAATCCAACACAACTCTCTTCGCTGCAGCGTTTCTACTTCCAAACGAGAAAATTGACTCCGACACGCCTCTGATCACTTTCAAGGTTAAATAATAATACTAATAATTTATTCATTTATAAAGCGCAAATTTCATCTAGATATGTTCAAATGCGCTGTACAATGAAGACATTAAGCATGGAACAATGAATACATTTAAACATGGTTGAGCCAATGGCATACAAGGGCGCCTTGGGCAGTCGCCAAACGACCCACATTCACCGACATCAGTAAAGAGGGGACAGTAAGAAACAATTACAGTTTTTTAGAGGTGGGAGAAAACCCCAGAGGAATAGTCTGGGTAAAACCCACGGAGTCAGGTAGGGACTGAAAACCCGATCCACATGTGGACCGGGCCGGGAATTGAACCCGGGACCACAGATGTGGAAAGTGAAGAAAGAACTACCTTGCCAATGATTATATAATAGAAGGTTTGAATAGCTGCCATCTTGCAGGCCAAAGCTTTGTAAAGAGAGCATGCATAAAGGAGTTTTCCCCCGTGGAACCAAAAAACTGCCCTGCAAGATGGCTACCATGCAAAGCCTCTATACATAGAGTGCTGCTTGGAGCAACTCGAGTTTTAAGACAAGGAGCAGCGCTGGCTTTTATTTCTCAACATAATTCAGCTGTTGTGACATTTTGAACAATACGAGCGCTTCACAATCGTGTACCTCCAAGAGTGCGCGAAATCTGTCGACTCTTTCCAAACGCGCATTGGGTCGACAGAGTTCGCGCACTGTCATTGGTCAAAGCTTTACAAACTCCGGGAGGGGCAATATTGTGAATCGCCCGTATCGCTGGCGGTATGCCATTACTGTTGTTTTTACACGTGCGGTCCATATGAGTCAAGTCTTTCACCATTGGACACACTGATCATTGTTTCAAAGTCACGACGAAAATACGTCCCTGACTGGGACTGCGTTGTGGGGAAATTTCGGGAAAAGTTTTAGACCATTATTAGAGTTTCTCTTACACAGTTTTGTGTCTACTCGAGTCTTGTCCTCATAACTATTAAGGATGTGTAAGATATCGTGCGTAACTTATCTTTTCCCTCAATCTCTTTACACATGTAACAACACACCTTCGACAAATTTGCTTGTACCGTCTTTGGCTCTCTCCATGGCAGGTGCCGCTGGTGGAATTGGAAGCAGTGGCTGGTCTTCATTTCTTTCCTAATCTTGCCAACGCACCAGTGGGGGATTTCTGCTCCTTCGACGACTGCAAGCTGAGGGCAGAGAGGGAGGCAGTTTCAACGATGAGCCGGTTCTCGACTGGCACCTTGTTGATCATCGTCTTGTTCGTCTGGATTTATTTTATGTACAAATGGAGGGAACATGCAGAAAAAGCCGCGAAGAACTTGAAGTAACAGGAAACAGCAAAATCATTTACTGCGAGTACTGAACACATATAAATGACATCGTCTTTTTGCTTGAACCTTTCGCTGAAGGACTGCTATTATCAATTGAATAAAAGCTCAATAGATAGGGTGCTAGAAGATATTTCAATTTGGTGTCATTCCGTGAATCGTAGACAGAAACACCCCCCTTGAAAAGAGATCGGTGAGAGTGTTCGTTACCTTGGTAGCAATGCAACTGACCGTAAGGCGTGCGTTTCATAACGATCGTTCGTAAACCAGTGAAGTGCAGTGCCCACCAGGAGCCTCCTCTGCTTGGAAAATTGCTCCCTCTCTTGGACCCGTTCGGGGCTCATTAGAGCATGGAGCAAGGAAAAGATAATCAGAGACACCGTGTACCAATCCAGACTACGATTAACTTGCATTATAAAACAAGCCATGAGTTGGTTCAGTCAACGTTTCAGCCTAAGCTTATATTTGAGAAACCTTTAGTGGCATAAGTACGTAGGCCTAAAGATTAGTCATGTGTGGAGCACGCACTAATTTCGTTTTGAAAAGGTCACTGATGATTACGTGTGAATAAAGTTTGTTCTCTGACCATGACCATTGCGTCTTTTGCCCTGATTTCTGACGTCCAAAATAAATAGAAGTTGTCAAATGATTGTTTGACTGTCGTTACGTGCTGCTGTTCGTCAAGGGACAGACTCGGACGTTTGAGTTTTCTCAGAGAAGCCTAGCCATCCCACTGATTGATCACCACGCCCGCAGTCTTTAATTTCACGAAAAGAGGGCGCTCCTTGACGCGTGTACCATAGCGTTGGTACGCAGCCTACTACTCGCGAACTTTAATGTAATGTGTAGGAATTTAGCCAGGATACCATCGTCGAATGAACACAATCGACCGACGGGAAATACCATGGACCTGAAAAAGCTGAAGGTAAAGTTGTGTTCAAAATGATCAATTTCTAATTGTATCCTTACATAAAAATAGTTTGTATATCTTTTATAAATGGCTTTTTAGGTTAGGCTGTCTGTGGCATTAGATTAATGCACGTACTAGCTTTTCTGTATAGTTGTATAAATGATTTTGGGTCATTATTTTATGTGTGATTTCATATTGACCAGATATGATATGTCCTATTGCACTTGTTGTAGTGAAGTCTCTGTGGTCGGCATGAGGTCACTGGTTTTGTTTCTTGACTCTGCCCGGCCAGTGGTGGCTGTCATTTTTGTGCCCTCTGGAGTCAAGGGAATGAATAGTGTTAAGGGCAGTGGGGAAAATCGTTACTGTCCTGAGACTAGCCTGAGACTGAGACTACACATTTTAATATTCAGCATGTTCAACATATCACTGCACTGCTTTATGCAGTAAAAAATATCTTCCACGTTGTAATGTAAAAATGTTAATTTTAACTTGTAATTTGTGTACAAATTCAAGGGCACAATGCACATGCCATGGTTGGAGAGTCTCCAGCTAAGAGAATTACCCATCAAGACCTATGATGGTCTTACCATGACAATTATGTAATGAATTTGACCATCTTCCATGTCCACCTTGAGCAGGTGCACCCCCCCATCGGTTGAAAAGAGCCACATTAGTCGGGAGTATTCACTTTGTTGGTAACGATGCGACTGCAATGCTTGCATTTCCTAGTCGTTCGTGAGCCAGCGATGCTCAGTTAGTACCAAAGGAGCCTCCCTTGCTGAGGAAAAAGTGCCCTCTCTTGGTCCTGCTCAAGGCCCGTTACTCCTTGTGGAGTTATCACCGGAGGTTAAAGAGGATCATTGCAAAAAGTCTTGAATTACCAACAGGAACAAGGATAATATAGGCCAACGTAGGCCTAATGGCTTTACTGGCCTAGTGACAGGTGTCTTGTGATAACACCTTTCCATTGTGTCACTTGGATGTTTTTCAAATGCATATTGTTGTCCACAACAGATTCCTGAGCTGAAGAAGGAGTTGACGTCCCGTGGGTTGGCATTGAAAGGCAACAAGCAAGAGCTGGTCAACAGGCTGTCTCAGTATCTGGAGGAAAACGGTAAGATGTCTGACCAGTTGCCGACCTTTGCACATGGTCAGACTGGCTTGACTGCTGCCACCAAAGGTTATCAAAACAAAACCTCCACACTGAGAGTAGAGCTTGGCCCGTGATAAGTGCTTAATGACATCAAAGAGATTGTATGAATAAAGTGACAGACATGGGCCACATCATCCACATGATATTGTCAACTTACCTCTGCCTGTTTGTTAAGATGGGGCAACTGCTTGGCTGTTGAGGTTCCCGGTTTCAACTGGCTCATTTGAATGTAGCAAATGGAGTAACACTTGCAGCTAACGACAGATGATATAATTTGCTTGGGAACAGTGAGGCCTAAATTGATTTACACGCAATGCTCATGTGGTAATGCAGCCTTGACTAATGTGTCAGTGTTAACACTGATCCCCAAATCTTTGCTAGTTTCAACTACAAATGCCGTCCATTACGTTTTCGCAGTAAGTACAGATATTGCGATCATTTTTCACTGGCCTAAATTAGTCTGTATTTCAGTGATAAAAAGACGTTTTTCTTGTTTTAATTTCTCATTTGCTTTCTGTGCTGTCAGGAGAAAGTTTACTTGCAGTGGAAAATCTTAAAACAGGCGAGGAGCCTGTTATGAAAATTGAAGGTCTGTCAACAAGCTCAAATCTGCCTCGCGTCCCCAATTTCTTTTTTTTTCTTTTTTGGCATTGTGACTCTTGAGCCATTTTGTTAATGTGGGGAAAGTCATGTCTGGTTTGTCAGCATTGAGGTTCTGAACAAATTGGCCAGCATCTGCCTTAAACCGTCCCCTATCCTTCAAAATCCATCAAGAGGTTTTGGAGGATTTTGCAGGATTCAGGAAGGTAGAACCCACCCACTTTTACAATGACCTAAATAGTGGTGGCTTTTGGATTATTCTGGAGGGTTCAAAGCAAAACATGGGACGATGTCAAGGGCTGTTTTGCGCCATCTTATACTTCACTGCAGTGGAGGGTTTTTCCTTTGTGCTTAGGACCACATTTGTGCTTACAGAGTTTGTAGTCCTGCTTAGCACAGTGTGTAGGCTAGTAATGAAACCATGAGGATAGCAGCGGAGCCTGGGTATAAAGGATTTTCAGTCACGTGATTTTTGACGGTCGGCATTCGAACGTAGGCGCCTTGGAAGTCTCTCAACAGTCTCGTGTACAAAAATACCGATAGAAATACACAGATTTGAAATACATGTGCCTCCACGGACATGGTATGCTTCCTGAAATGCCTTTGCCCGTCATGTTACGTCATGCGAAAAACCTCTATAAGCTTTGTAGCTGAGCATGGTGTTGGGTGCAGCGGCTATGGAGGACTTGCTGAGCAAAGGCTGTGTCTAAGTCAACTAGCTGGGGCTAGCAGTCACACACGTGTGTATGGGAAGTCTCTGCAGCCGCTAGCTAGAGACTTCCATAAGCACACATGTTAATCTAGCCATAGCCATTGCAGGCAGGCATTGCCTAACAGCAGGTACCTGTTCTGGATTTGTGCTTCATTACTACCAGAGCAACAGGTAGAGTTGGCCAAAATGCTTCATTTGGACACAGGCTCTTTCTCCAAAAACCTTCAAGAATGGTCGTGGATGTTCCAAATTTGTTCCTTCATTTCTCGTATTTTTGTCCATGTCACAGATGAGGCAATCCTTGACAACGGCACAGAGCCCACAGATGCAATATTAACATCTGGAGGTTGGTACATGCAGATTTTGAACTGAATGCTATGAGGTGAAATCTGGATGTCAGACTTGCTTAATTTTCAGTTAGAATACCATTATTTGATTGGCCTTCATGAACTTTGACCCAATTCCTCCTTGTCTTTATTTTCAGTTGAGGAAGATCTTTTAGCGCAAGAGGTAAGATTCCTTTAACATCCCCAAAACTTATGCTGGATTTGAAACTTAAGGTCGATCTGTAGAAAATGTAAAAGCTTTTTGAGTCTTTCTGTCTGCGTCGAAGTGGAGGACCGTAAGTGCGAAATAATTGTGGTATTTGTAGTGTCCAATAAATTGTTGAAAGACTTAAACAGTGACATTGCTGTTATAAGGCAGTTCAGCTGTTTTAACACAGATTAGATCTTACGCTGTCAGACTTATCAAGCATCACTAGGCATCATATTAATCAAATCAGTTTTGGGACAAGAAGAAAACAGTCCCCAGCATCTTTACGACTTCTTGGCCAAACCTAGGATCAGTTGTCTTGCAGAATAGTTTTGGCGAACGTAAGCACCAGTACATGTAGGAGAAATGACACTCAAGCGAAAGTATGGAGGACTAAAACTCTTCATGGAATTCCGATGAAGATGTATGGAAACAGTGTTGCAGTGTTTTTCAATACATTCCCCAAAACATCCAATATCGTTTCACCAGGATGAGCCAAATCTTCTGGATGATGAGGAAGAAGAGCCAGCTGTCGCGGAAACCGTTGCCAAGGTTACCTCCCCCATTGCCCTACAAAGGAAACCCGTACTGACAGCCTCTCAGGCCAAGCCCAGTGCCCCTGTCGTCGCGGCACAAAAAATCACCACCATCCCTGCCACCACCAGTGAACTGACTCCAGCTGAGGTGCAGTAAACGAGCTGTCAAAATTCAAAACTGTCTTCTATGATTCTCTTTTTCAGTATTGATTTGTTGTTATTAATCTTTAAACTTTCCTAGAGACCAGGTGATTTTATGAGAGGTTTTATTTCTATTGAAAGATATACTTGGTAATCATTTCTTCAATTTAGTAACGTACAAAATGTTTGGCTTCAGATTCATAAAACCTTTGATAGTTCCACACTTTGACGGATAAATCTGACAAATCGGTTCTTAACTGAAACACTGCTTATTCTTTGATTAAAAGAAAGATGTACATGTAGATATAATTGGACACTTTCAAAAGATGTTTTGATGAAGCCCATTTTTTTATTATGCAGAAAAAAGCTTTGCGAGCCCAAAGATTCAACACACCTCTCTCAGAAGAGGCAAGGAAACAAGCCCGATTAGAAAAGTAAGTGTGATTTTCGATTGCTTTCTGTTAATTTCAGTAATTTGTCGTCCTTAATATTATAACTCTGGCTTAACTTAAAGCCAAAACAAATGGAAGCTGTATTGAATATCATGTACTATCGTTACGTTGATGCGGGGTTCAACTTAATATTCAGATTAACATTAGCCTCATTAACAATAATTCATAAAGAAACTCTTCAGAATATCACAGAATTCTCAAGATCAGGATTTTGATAAGCCCACTCATGAATATGTATGATGTCATTATTAATCCTGACAAACAATGACATACCTTTGACTCAGGTTTGGAGGCAAGCAAGCTGTGACGGCATCAGCTGGGGCTGTCCCCAAAACACAAGGCAAAGTATCGGCAGTCTCGGTAAGCCATCGTGGCAGAAGTAGTCTATGTTGACCTTTGATGACCACAGATTATATGTCCGAACTGAGAACACCAGATATTTTTTGCTCCATTCTTTGTAAATTCTTTTCAATTTGCTTCCATTTGTTTGTTTTTCTGTGATTTCAGACTGGCGTGCTGTGCAGTGTTTTTTTTTCAGACAAGAGTGAGAGAGTGTGGTAGCTTTTGAGGTCTTAATTTTATTTTTTATCTGAATGCAGTCAGACGCTTTGGAGAAGTTGAAGAAGCGGTCAGAGAGGTTTGGTACAGCTGTGTCCCCCATTGTCCAAAAGGTCAGTTTCCAGAAAAGGGTTCGACATATGCCGACAGAAGCATTTGATTAAATTTTTGATTAAAATCAAATCAAATTTGCTAACCGGAGAGAATTTCTGTTTAAAGTAATAACATCCAGTATGCCTGTAATTTTTGTTTTGGCTTTGTAACTGGCCAGACGGATGAGATGGAACGACTTTTGAAGCGAAAGCAGCGCTTTGGGGTGATCACCAATACTACAACAGCTGCTGCAGTGAAGGCTACGGGGACCAGGAGAATATCGACAGGGGGCGGTGGGGATGATGTAGAGGTAGGATTTCAATGTGTCTGGGCATTGACCACCGAGGGCGCTATGGCCTACTCGCAGTTGCTGAAGATTTCAATTTGAATCCTCATATTTCGCGCAGTAGACATTTTTCTCGTTGAGAACTGCACTACAGTGGAGGTGTCATTTTTTTTGGACCATGTGTCTCGGAGGAAAAAACTGGGAAAGAACAGAAACCCAAAATGTTTTAAACTTTAATGTTTTTTTTACAGGCAAAGAAGAAGAAACGTGCTGAAAGGTTTGGACTGTCCTAACTACAGCAACGCAGCTTCCTTGGGTTGCAACCTTTTGCCAAACATTTTTCACCAGGAATCCCCTTGGAAGTCAACAGAAATGTGGCAGGGGTTTTACAGTCACGGTGAAGTTGTTGACGCTGTTCGCAAGAGATGTGTATGCGTGGTTTCCAAAGCAGGAGAATCTTGAAATATGAACAGCGATCCTTTTTTTCTGTTACAAATCTTCACATTTTCTTCAAATATCACTTTTGATTGAAATCCCCTTGTAATCACCATTACACATTATCTGAGTAAGAAAGACAAGAAACTTTGCTGTTTACCTTAATAGAAATTTCTTCTAACATCATCTGGTTCCCTGACTCCACATTATGGAATTAATGTTACAGCAGCCTGCCACTCTTCCAAGTTTTTGTGATCACTCCTGTCACTTCGTTCTGTCCCTTTTCTGGGCGTTCTTCTTTTTTTTAGAGGGGCGGGTGCATCAGTGTTCCAGACATGTGGCTGAATGTACACAATAGTTTCTTTTTTTTCTTTTGCTTGTGTAAGTATAGTAGTTGAGAGTCTTGTTATTTTTTTGTTCCAAGGTTTTTTGGGGGTTTGTAGGTATTTCGCTGAAGTAAAAATCTCTCCTGATTCATTCTCTGCAGGGGTGGTTTTCCACACTACAAATATTGATCAGGTTGTGTCCTTTTCTTCGTTGAGCTAGGACCAAGGATATGTTCCATGGTAACGTGAGAACGTCCAATAATAATTGTGCGCTTTGAAACACTTATTTCACTGGATGTTTTACTCGTCGCAGCCTCCAACTTGGATGTGAAACGGGATGATATGCGAGACGGGTGTAAATAGTATTTTTAATGTAAAATTGGGTAGGGTGTTTTGAGCCATTTTATCTGGTTTTTATTTTAGTTTAAGGCTTTTGCTTTCCATTTGTTTTCAGCATGTACCATTTGTGTCTAATTACTGCTGTATCTGCTTGTATTAAGTATTTAAAACTTTGCTTTGTATGGACATTTCACTGTCGTACTTCCAATGAGGAATTGGTCTGTGCCACTTTTTGAAGGTTCGTAGGCTTGTTTAGTAGCATCTGCTAAACACAGTAGAGGGCTGTGCTCCGGAAATTCATGTCGATGGTCAGTGTACAACCTTCCACGTATTTGTGTTTTCTCAAAGCCTGCGGGAGAACTTAATTTGCATGGCAAAATGAAAATGCAAACACTTCCAGAAAAGAGATGCTTCAAGTTCTACCAATTTTGCTTGTGAACCTGTTTTTGCAGTCTCCAAGAGAGCCTGAAAAGGACTTGCACTATCGCTGTTGAGGAGGGCAAAACCTTGGGTGATTACTTGTTTTTTAATGTCCTTTGGAGATACATGTGCATTTATAACACACGGTGATACACCTCTAAGGTCCAATGCAAATTTATGCAGAATTGAACAAAATGTCTTTGAATTCACTGTATTTCACTGGCCACACTTTTGTACATTTTCATGGACTTTTGCAAGGCTCAAAATGGCAATAAAATCTACAAACTTTTTCAGTGGAGAATGGACTGAATGTTGTAAATCTCATTTCTCTCTGCAGTAACCTTCGGAATGGAAAATAAAGACAGATTTACAAATCCTGCTCATTAAACTTACGTTGTAAATGATTTGAAGACAAAGTACAACTAAATTTGGATAATTATGGTGTGCTAAATTCCCACATTTACTGTTTAGGATAATACAAGGTTTTGCAATGCTATATTATTGTACAACTTCGATGTAATGCATCATGATTAAATAGCTATCTTAATTTGTCTTGATTCACTCTCATTCTTTAAACCATTCCAGTCGGGGGATATTTTCCAATTACATGTATGTACTGATGTCAACCATTGAAAGGCTGTCTTCTAAACATGCGCTGGTGTATTTTTAACAAAGCCATCATCCAATTGGCTGGTGGCAAAATCTGCACACAGAACCCCCAAAAAATTACCACCACTTGACTGAACATCAAATAATAAATATACACAATGATATTTTTTCTGTTATGGTTATTTCACAGCGAAACTATTTTGTACAAAGTTTTGTACAATTTATTAAGTTAATATCTCCACTTCCTGGCCATAAACAGGCCTCCATCAAAGACAGCAATGGCAGAATCAGCTGACAATGAAGAAAACCTAACAGTTAAATGATAATCCCATTTGAAAAAAAATCATAATTTATGTTTCCGTTTCTCACCAATCTCGGTATGGTTTATGGTCATGTACTTATGTTAGGAAAAGTGGTGCATGTAAATTCACAAACCGCTGTGCACTTGACCCATTTTGTTTCACACCAAAACCACACTCTATCTCCAAATCTGTAGTTTATGAATCTTTCCCTCTGAACGAGTAACTTTCAGACTACATAGGGTGTCCTACTTCCTGAGGTTGTATGCGATGATGGGCTTGTAGGGTGTGTGGATCATGGTGCTGTAGTTGATGGTGGGGAAGTAACCGTCCACAAGAGACAGCTCATACTTGCGGATGAGGACCGACATGATGGTCTTGATCTGGACGTAGGCAAAATTCTCCCCGATGCAACGATGCCGCCCGGCCCCAAAGGGAACGTAGGAGAACTTGTCGCTGTTAGAAGCATTCTCGTCAATGAAACTGTGGTGAGTAAAATCAAAGGTTTTCAATAGCTTCATAATGGCCGGTAGAATAATTACGACATCATTTTCAGATGTTAGACATGATAGAAAATGTGTTCATCTAAAGTCAAAATATTAAGATGTGAAGAAAAGCATTGGATGACAAATAGTGTCCAATAAAATGACCACAAAGCTGAAGCCACAAAATAAACTGATTAATTTCTCTTTCTTTTTGGCCCCAATCTGTCCCAGAATGCTTTGCTATGTGGCAACATGCCAAGATGGTGGTATTTGTCTTGTGGTAGTTGTGTAAAGAGGAAGTCTTACCGATCAGGGTTAAAGGTCAAAGGTTCGGGCATCCACTGGTCCTCAATGCGTTGGTTGACGGTTGGTGAGACGCACACCTGGTGCCCAGGCGGAATGACGTAATCCTTGAAAGTCTGCGCGGGGACACAACAGCCGTTTCATGAATACATCTTGTTGATTTCACAAGAATTAAGTTTCCCTGCTCTCTAAGCACTCAGGCTGCATCCATATCTGTTGTCTAGAGCGAGGTCAAGGTCTTCGCTCCATTGGAAATACACAGAGATGTGCTGACAATAGACTTAGCCGTTGTAGCTCTAGAAGCCTGTTTCAGACACGGCCTCAGCTTCAAAAAGCAAAACTAGTCCAAGTACATTTTAATGAGCCGTTTTTATGAAGTAACTGTCCTAAGCAAGCTGAGGTTAAATCACCTACTCACCAAAGGCACCTTGGCAATCCTCATCATGGTCATGATGGGTGGGCGTATCCTTAAGGTCTCCTTCAGGCAACGGTCCAATAGCGTCATGTCCTTTACCTATGCATAAATCGGGACATAAATAATTCATGAATACTTGGAAAAGACTTGAATCTGTTTTAAGAACCTACATTTCTAAATACATCTCCAGCTAGGTAAATATCTTCGTCTCCTTGTTTAGATTTTGCCAAACATATCAGATGAAGAAAAAACAAGTTTTACCTAGTTCTGTCTGTAAAATAATGTATTACTAAGCAAGAAAATACGATTTTTTTACAAAATGTTACATTTACCTGGTCATATGTTAATGGTTCATCCACATCAGGGCCACATATCCTCAGTTGCTCTTGGTAACAACGTTCCTAAATCACCAAAACCAAAAAAACCACAACTGTAAAAAAGTTTAGTATATTTAGTATATTGCAGAGAATGCTTCAATGTATAAATTCTCCATACGTTACTCGCCTACTAAATCCTTTCTCTAAGCCCCTCCCCCTCCTGGCACTAACACCCATTCCTACCTGGAGATCCTTGTCCTTAGCTAGGAAGAATCCTAGCCAGGAGCTAGTGGTGGATGACGTATGCTGGCCGGCCAACAGTAAGCCTATGCACATCCCGGCTACCTCGTCATCCGTCATCAACTCCCCATTCCTGAAACAGTCAAAGTGGCCATTGTTACAAAAGATTTCTGAGAGACTATTCTGCGCAAAAACAATACAGGAAAAGTTAAGGTTTCTGAGATTTTGTGTGCAATTAGAAAATTGTCTTAAACAGGGTGGCATCCAGGCTACCAAGAAGGTCTCCAGATGGAAATGATAACTTGAACACCATACCACATGAAAGTAAACAGTCTTTGTTCTCAGTTCACAGCATTAATAGGGATTCATGTGCTGTATGGAGCCCAGGCTATGGGTGAGACAGCCATGTGTGCTAGAACTGTCACAGGTAGCCTGGTGGTCAAATTGTTGGGACTAAACTTACTTGTATGCCGTCGTAATTAGTGTCTGAAGCATATCATCATCAGGATTATCACAAGCCCTGCGTTGTTTTATAGCCTGAAAAGAAAGAAAAAAACTCTTGTTACTTTTCTCTCGGTTTTCCTGAACATCTCCGACATTATGAAAACGTTGACCAGAACAAAATTTTAGGTCAAAAATGAAAACATTTTTTTATAAGATTAGTGGACGGATGATACATTCAAGACTAGGGAAGTGACAGTTAGGAGATTCTTCCATTTAATGCAGAGGGGTGCAGACTTCAGAGAGACCAGAAAGTGTAAATTAAAGTCTCTTTCACACCATATTATAAAATTTGAAAGACATATCTGGATTTCTTTTTTTGGTTACCTTGTAGAAGATCTTCTTGACCTCCAGGTGGGCACGGTCCCGCTTGCGGAAGCTTGGGAAGGGTATCCAACTGGGAAAGAGCCAGGCTAGATGACTGAAACCCCCGTCTAGGTCCATGTACAACTGAGCCACACGCTCATCAAGCTGTGAGCGGATCTCTTTCCCTGATTGGTGGAATTAACATTGGGAAGTAAAAAGTCTCATGCAGGAAAAGTGAGGAATTATACAGTTTGTTCTACAGGGAATTCTGACAGTAATTTGTCTGGTAAATGAGGTCATTGCAGAAGAAGTTCTGATACTTTTAGATAAAGCTATTGTGGTAATGTGTCTGGCTCAGGGACAAAATTGCCTTGATCTGTACTGGCAGAATCTACATATACATAATGTTATTGATTGATTCTTACATTTCTTAAAATCTACATAGATTTCAAATTTAAAGCAATTCATACTCGTGTAACACTAAATAAAAATTAAAAATTATTGCTAATTTTGCCTTTTGACAATTCTAAATGGCATTATGAATGAAGAAGACGTGATACATTACCATGTAGACAGCGGCTAGCAGTGAGAATGATCAATTCTGACATTGCTACGAACAGATCTGGAAGAAAAAAATCATTTTATTTAACCAAGCTTGCAAGAAGACGTTTTTCACTAATTACACAACTAACAATTTCAACAGAGATGTAACCTTTAACCAGTAAGGTTCTTATCAAACCAAGGTGATGAATGTCTGGACACAAAATCTGCTTCTGTTTCAAAATTCAAAACTGCAACAAAATGTGAGATTTTTTGAGGGCGCCTGGCGCAAAAGAATTCTCACTTTCTTGGCCACTGCTTTTCTTCCATCTTGTCAGGTAGTTTCCTGTCTCTTCTTGGACCAGTTCCACATGCTTACGAAATTGAGCAATGTTCAAGCCCAACTTGAAGATCTTCTTTTGCTCCAAGAATTTCTGCCAGAAAAAAAGTACAAAATGAACATTTCAAGAGCACTTTTTCTCTGTTATCTGCTAGTAGGCTCACATCAAACTGTTTAGAAACTAGCTTCTGCAAATAATCCATCTGACCACACCATCAAAACATATTGCAGGTGCCAGCAAAAAAATTGAAATCAAAACTTGTCTCCACTTTCGGAAAACAAATGGCAGGGTTGAATGAAATTACAAGAGAGATTTCATGGGTCAGATTTCTTGCTGCCATAGTAACAACATTTGAAAATCTGTGGCAGAAGGTTTTGATAACTTTTATCAATTCAACCAAAATTAATTGTATCTACGAGTCATTTTTCTCCATTAACTCAAAGATGGATCTCTGAACGATTATTTTGGCTCAGGTACAACAAAGTGATTCATCCAAATATAGACTGAATATCTAAGACAACAAAACTTACAAAACAAAGTGTCAATAAAAATAGTTCATATCTGAGTTTCAAAGGTCAGCTACAAGCCTCAAAAAATATCAAATTGCAAAGCTTGAATCTTATTGAACCAAATTGATCTCTGTTATCAGTCCATTTTGCTTTGTTCAAACATCCAAATAAAGGTTTCATATGCCATGTTCAGCAACAAGTCTACATCAGGATTTTGAAAGCACAAATAAACTCATATGAAAACTCGACCTAATGTCTGTGCTGGAAGGTATCACCCCCACAAAAAAAAGATACTCACAGCATTAGGAACATCATAAGCCACGCCCTTCCCAAACACGGGTGTGGTCAGACGACCGTAGACCTCCTCTGCATTCAACTGTTCATTTTTACTATTGAAGAGGAGTGCACTTGCCTCTGGACCAATCAGATAAGTGAAGGTCTGGCCCACCATCGTGAAGCTGAAAATCTCACCATACTGGGATTGAAAAAAAGGCCAACCCCCAAACAAAAAATAATTAGAGCCACTGGAAATGTTTACTTGGTGGTTTTCAAACACAAAGAGCGTAACTAAATTTGAAGCTGTAAGTTAAAAAGATGGAATGATCAATAAACTAATTTGCATAGAGAACACACATGGATGATCAATTATAAAATTTTCACAAAATGAACAGAACTTGACTTGTTTGCTGTTTCTTAGTAAGGACACAAATATGAAAAGTGGTAACAATTCAGCACCTTTCTGTGAGCATCTTCAAGGAACTTGATGGGGTTTGCTCCAAATTCAACTGCTTTTCCCAGGAAAGGAATACCGGGAATGTATGGGGGCACTTTGATGTTCTGCAGCAGAAACGAGAAGTGGAGAACTTCAATGTTGAAAAATAAAACATTGATTAATGATTAGATGAAGAACAGCACCGAACACTTTTAATCAACATTCTCAACTTTAAAGATGCGGGGACAAATACACAAGCCTAATATTGATGTTGGTGACTTACATCAACCCCCCCCCAAAATATAATTGGGCGAAAACTACACTTGCAAAGTAATATTTGTAAATAACAGTTTTTCCAGACATGCCATAAAGGAAGGAGTTCCATACTTGGACAACACTAATCTTCCCTTGAATATTGTAACAGCAATGAAGTGATAATGTCCTGAAAAGTTTAGCTAAGAAAATTCTGAAGCAATGAGGCCCTACTTAGAAAACATGTTGTTTTTTTTCAGACAAGTCTCATCATAGGTTTGTGCATACACAGGAGCATCTCATGTTGTCCGTGTATGGAACTCATAAATAATAAAGAATCGAAAGAAAGGAAGCGTAATTTGAAGGTGTAATTTTCAAAATAAGAACGGCATTGATTAGAAGATGAGTTCAGGTATGTCAATCCATGGAGGAACTTGGCCCAGGTAGGGCCTAGGCCGGCCTCGTAAGGGCTAAAGTGCGGGACCGGGGAATAAACTATTTTAAAATAAAAGGATATTTTACATGTAAGTGCCACTCTCGACATTCATTCAAAATTAATAAAAAATGGTAATTTTTCGATTTTAAAATAAATGAAAAGAAACATTATCAATGCATGATCATGACCATGGCTCTTACGGATTTTCTGTCTGCCCCTCCCAACATCTTACGGAACACCGCCCCGACGACAAGCACAAACGCCGTGGTGACAAGCACCATGGTCAATGTGCTCGTCTCCTGCCATCGTCCGATCGCCCCTTCCACCAGCGAACTCCCGGCTCCTGAAGATGCCATGATGGATTTCTGATCCAAGCCGACAACTCCCTCTGGAAGAGAAGAAGCAGGCAACTGAGTTGAGTGTGCGCAAATTGATGAGAAATCAGCCGATTCAGTGATCGAGCGAGAGACAATTATTTACCCTACCCTACACTACATGCACAAACAGACTGTGATACGGCCGTGTACAAAGCTAATCATTTACATGTGCCGGCAGTGGTCCGAGGATTTCTAGGTCATTAGGGTCAAAAGTAACCAATCAGAGTGAGTCATGAATAATAAGCTTGTTTATATAAATAACTGAATAACAAATAAATTCTGTATGAAATAAGGATTCTGAAGTAAAGAGTCATTCTCACGTAAGGAAAATATTTGATTTTGAAAGCATTTTTCTCTGGCAAAACTTAGGATGCGTTTGCCTTTTATTGTATTGCACAATTGCAATGATTAAACAAACTAATTGCACGTATTCGCAAGGAGTAGGCGGAGCACAGTTATAAATTATTTATATATTTGGGATCAGAGTTCAAAGGTGTAAATAAAAGGCATTAGATACAAGACGAACATGGACTTCGGCTGTGCTTCGCGTCATTGAGAACCATGGTCTTTCTCTAGCAATGCCTAGCACCACATACATGTACATGTGCATACCTAACAGTAGTTTCTAATATAAAAATATTACTACCGAGAGCTGAACGCAGAAAAACTGTCTGTGAGTATGAAGAATTTATGTATTTCTAAAGTGTACATGTGAGAACATTCAATACTTCAAAAGTCGGTATCTTACAACTTGCAGACAAGTCAAAGTAGGGCTTAAGCCAAAACCTGCTGCTGGTTGCAGCCTTGCAACGCACATGTACATGTATTGTACATGTACATGTATGTACAAGGCCTAACGTAAGGCCTAGGCCACTTTCTCAGCGACTTCTTCAGGGTCCTTTTTGATTTGGCTATCCTGCTTCTTGGCTTCCAGCACCTACATGTAGCATGGCAAGGATTCTAGAGACTTTTCAATTTTCCAGGGCAGAAGAATCCACATTATTGTTGCCTGTTGCTTCCAGTTTTTGGACTTGTCAATACTGCATGCGTCATCGTGTACAGATGCTCGCCTTTGCTAGTTTTCAAAAATTGAAACCATTTTTGTCGTGCAGTATGAGTCTAAATTCATCAATGAGAGGTATCCATGGTAACAGATGTGATTGTCAGGGAGACACCATACTGTTGCAGTGCAGTATTTTACCACAAAAGTAGACGTTGCCATGGCTGTAATTGTGAATAACATGCGTGATGGTAGCCCCACTAGTGTGGCAAGGACTCTTCTCGCTACCGAAGGATGGAGCGGTAGCGAGAGTCCGTGCCACACTAGTGGGGGGGGCTAGCGTGACGGTAGGCTTATAGTCCCCAGGTCCCTAATTTCACCACCTATTGTCAAGTCTAATTAGTTTTTGACAGTAAGTCGTGCAATAAGTGACCTGGTGACTATACAGTCATGTCCGTCACTACCCCCCCCCAGAACTGTGGGGTCCGACTTCCGCCCCATGGGAGCGGGGCAGACGTCAGACCCCACAGTTGTGGGGGTAGTCCGTTACTTGAACCAACAATTTTTTCAGAATTTTGTTTTTTATATTTTTCGTCATTTTGGATGGCTGGTTTCCAAGGCTCAGATCTGTTTGATCACCGACAATTTAATTCATTTTGAATTTTTTCATGCCTTCTAGCAAGGATTTTACCATAATGAGTAGTCGACGCAACAGAGGAGGCCCACACAAGACACAGCCAGTCACTGACCTAACGAGATGGCGTCTGTCAAACGTCGATGGCCGACAATGCTGGAGGTACATCGAGGAAGGCCAACCCATCGAAAGAGAGCAGAACTTTGTGGAAAAGTTCAGCTTAGGACTGGATATTGTGAGTAATAAAAAAGTTCACTAGTTGCTTCTTTTGCTGTCAATATCTTGCTGTCATGTCAGGTTTGACTTAATTCTTGCTTTTGGTTTTAATATTTGACA